CTCATTGAGCTTACTCCTATTTCCTGATTTCTTTTCCACTTGGTTGTAGCCCTTTCCATGGAGCTAAAAACTATGCAGATAAAAATTTCGCTAGATTTAGGTTACTTATCATCACAGCTATCTCCAATGAAGTTCATAAAGGATTCAAACAATGATGGACGTAAAAAGGACAGATTTCTTCTGGAAACTCAAGAAGCTGAGTGAATTCTTCACAGATAATGGGATCCATCTTCAAAAATTTATTATTTGTTGCTAGCCAGATGTCTATTGAAGCAAATATCAAAATGCCATTTTTGTTTTTTGTTTTGTTTGAGATGGAGTCTCGCTCTGTTGCCCAGGCTGGAATGTAGTGGTGCAATCTCGGCTCACCATACACCTCTGCCTCCCAGATTCAAGCAATTCCCCTGCCTCAGTCTCCGAGTAGCTAGAACTACAGGTACACGCCAACATGCCAAAATGCCATTTTAAAATCTGGGTAAATGTTGGGTATATCTTATCCGAGATGCCTGGGACCAGAAATATTTCAGATTCTGTATTTTTTTTCCAGATTTTGGAATATTTGCATTATAACTACTGACTGAGAATCCCTAATCCCAAAACCCAAAATGCTCCAATTTGAGCGTCATGTCAGTGCTCAAAAAGTACTGGATTTTGGAGCATTTCAGATATCTCATTTTCAAATTAGGGATGTTCAACCTGTACATGTTTATATCTTCATTAGCAGTGAATCATTACCTAAATCTCTAGTAACAAAACAAATCTACAAACAAAACCAAGACGTTTAACCTAAGCCTGTGACCATGAAATTTTATCAAAGTCTCCACAGACTCTCCAACTGTAAACACAAAAGATATCTGCTATATTCAGATCAAAGTAGAGAAAAATTATACATGGACAAGAGCCTGTTCCACATGCCATTTTACGCATCTTGAAAGACTATCTCCTTTCTGATGTGGGGATCGGAGCAGGGGGGAGTGGGGAGTGGAGGGACCTCCCAGTGCTTTTCTTTTTTCTCTGACTGAGCCCTCTCTCCCTGTGTGCACAATGTATGTCATGGACACCTCCATCACACTATGGCCTGTACTGCTGGAAGACAGTAAGCCTGCAGTAGCAAACCTCAGGACAAGCTTTGCTGCAAACTGTTGCCAAGACAGCAGGGCCTCGCTCTTTAAAGTTGAGGACCCAGGAACTTTCATCTGTTCATTTAAACACTCCTGGCATAGAACTGAATTTTAAAAAGTATATGTTTACATTTCATTATTCATTTATTGATACTCGCTGTGTCATTTCCCTCCAAGCTTTATGGTTCTCAAGAGTAGACTCTAGCTCCCCATAAAAACTGACGGAATAATTCATACAATAAGCATTTAATGGCAATAAAAAATCAGCAACCTGTTTAATACTAAAGAATGGCATTCTTTTCTTAAAATTACGGACATGGTAAGAATAGAAGATGAAACAAAACAGATTACTCACTGTGAATAATTAGCTACCTTTCTATATTTTTAAGTAGAGAATGCTGAGCTTGAATGAACTTAGACTGATAATTTATATAACATCCAATCTTAATAAGGTCACACATTCAGAGACTGATTTATTTTAATCTTCACTGACAATGAGGTAATAAATACCTTGCACTCACGCTGTATTTATCTCAGGTTGCTAAGATGATATAGGGGAAGAGGTAGGTGAAGTTCTGTATATGTGGTTAAAAGTAAATAAACAGAGAACAAAAGAATGTAGATAATCTTTCTCATTTCATTTTTTCCTACCACTGTTCCTAAGTCTATAATTTATCTAAAATCTCTTACGAAGTTTTTAAATCCAGACTTTAAACGTTACGCTCCAGGAATTTTCCAAAGTTATTAATTTTATTAATAGTAAATTCCTTTGATGAACCACTTTAGAGCATTAAAACAATTATGAAAGCATTTATCTCTTCAAAATAAAACTCAAGTTTAGGCAAAACCAGTGGGGCTAGATGATATTTCATATAGATGTACTGCATACTCAAAAAGAAAAGCAAAAATGTCTATAAACAGATGTTCAATTTTTCAAGGGGAGAAAAGTCCAGTCCTGATCTGGAACTTGACAATAAATGAACTAGGGAGTGAAGTGCAGTTTCCTGGAGAGTGATCAAAACAGTCGAGCCTGAATATACAAACTTGCACATACCTTCATGAAAGCATTTTCTACAAGCCAGACCATGTAGTGCTCTGTTGCTTAGAAGCTGGGCAGAGAAATGCTAACCAGGCACTGCCTTGGGGATTTGTCCTGGGAACGGTGCCATTTAACATTCTTATTAATTACTTGGTGGAGGAAGGTGAGCTATAAGTAGAGAGGTTCCTGGTCACAGTTTACTAAAGATAAATCACCAGGAACTAAAGGGATCTGGAAGAAACTTTGGTTCGATTTAGATACATTCGGGGATCAATATTATGACAGCAACAAAGCTCACAGCACAACTCCAAGACTATTTACAAACGAGCCAAACGAATGTCATTCTTCTCATTTAAGACTGAGGTCACTAGAGATAGGAGGTTACTCAGGCTAAATAAAAAGGGAACCCAACAATGTCCTCATTTCTGGATAGTCCAATAGCAAGGCTGTGAGATACAAGATACTGTAAGATACATGAGATAATCTAAGCATTACAAAAGATTAAAGGAACAAAAAATAGGGCCATGATCTGAAATGTTTGCACAGTTCTGTTCTGAATACCAAATCTATGGTGAACCTATGGATAGCAATTCCTTCTCTCTCCAAGCAGAAATTATCTGCCCTATTTAATTCCCATAAAGCAATTTTTGGTTTGTTTCCTCAGTATTTTTCACATTGTGATTTGTACAAGAGATGCAGGCATAAATTCTTTGAGAGCTAGGACCCTGCCTTTGTATTCTGCACTTCTGCCAGAATAACAAATTCCCAATAAATAAATCGTTATTAAAGGCAGTATAGTGTAGCAGTTAAGAATATGAGCTTCAAGGCTTCAGACTGTGCAACTTTAAATCCTGGTTCTACTGCTAATTAACTTGGAGATCGTGGGCAAGTTTCTAATCACTGTGCTTCTATTTTTCTAAAGTAAGCTGTACGACTATTGGGAAAATTAAATGATGTTAATACTTTAGTGGTCTTAGAACAGTACCTGGCATTATAGTTAAGTGTTTAATAAATGTTATTAGCATTCATAGTGGTAGTATATTAAAGAATAAATCACTTCATAAGTGACTGATATACAAGATAAAATTATCATAAAAATTAGAGGGGTTTTAATGCTAGATTTTCCTTGAATCAATCACAGAATTTCTCCCAAATTTAAGTCTTCCACAATTAGATAAAATACAGGAGGTCCAGTTCAATTAAATTTCAGATAAATAACAAATACTTCTTTGGTATACTATTGTCCCAAATACTGTATGGTAGGAGAAATCTGGTAGGAGCAGCAGCTGGTAGAATTAAGAAGTTTGATTTGTTGTTCTAAGAAAAAAATCTCTGAATTTTACAAGTTACTCCTCCTTCTTTGAAGAACTACTTTCCTTCTTTATGACCTTTAGGATGCCCTCCTTGCCACATATTTACTTTTTAACATCAACAATAGATTGGGCTGGGTGTAGTGGCTCATGCCTGTAATCCCAGCACGTTGGGAGGCTGAGGTGGGTCGATCACATAAGATCAGGGGTTCGAGACTAGCCTGGCCAATGTGGTAAAACACTGTTTCTACTAGAAATATAAAAATTAGCCAGGCATGGTGGTGCACTCCTATAATCCCAGCAACTCAGAAGGCTAAGCTGGAGAATTGCTTGAACCTGGGAAGTAGAGGTTGCAGTGAGCCGAGATCATACCACTGCACTCCAGCCTGGGTGACAGAGTGAGACTCCATCTCAAAAACAAACCACAATAAATGGAAGTAAAAATGATAATTTTAAACTAGATACAGAAATACACTCTTCCTATATTTTCTACTTGACTAAGTATACCTTGCCCATCTGCTGGCAGAGCCTAAGCCCAGAGGAGCCCAGTTGGATGCTACCCGAGTTCTGACCACTTAGCACTTCTTTAAAGGCTATATATAGGTCCTCTTTACACCCAGCTTGAACTAAACGGAACAAATAAATGTGTTCAAAAAAACAAATTGGTTTTGAATTCTTACAATGGTTTTAAAAAGGCAGTGGCAAAATTGCCCATGTCGACAGGGGTTTATTTGGATCAAATTAATACTGGCAGTTTAAACATGCAAAAGTGTTTCTAAGAAGTTATGGGTTCCTGGAAGACAGATTTGCATATCTGCAAGTAGGTAAGTTTCTGCAGAGCCCAGAACATCTTAAGCATGGGTATTAGTCCATTTTCACGCTGCTGAAAAAGATACACCTGAGACTGGGTAATTTACAGAAAAAAAGATTTTTAATGGACTCACCATTCCACATGGCCAGGGAGCCCATACCGTCATGGTGAAGGCAAAAAGCACGTCTTACAGGGCAGCAGACAAGAGAGAACGAGAGCCAAGCAAAAGGGGTTTCCCCTTATAAAACCATCGGATTTCGTGAGATGGACGCACTATCACGAGAACAGTTTGGGGGAAACGACCCCCATGATTCAATTATCTCCCACCGGGTCCCTCCCACAAACACATGAGAATTATGGGAGCCACAATTCAAGGTGAGATTTGGGTAGGGACACAGCCAAGCCATACCAGCATGTATTTGATTGTATTTATGATATCTTATAAAGAGACAGCATACTATACATTCAATAAAAGTAGATCTGGTTGTTTTTTTTTTTGTTTTTGTTTTTAAAAAAAAAGTGTTTCACCATGTTGGTCAGGCTGGTCTTGAACTCGTGACCTCAGGTGATCTACCCACCTCAGCCTCCCCAAGTGCTGAGATTACAGGCATGAGCCCCCACGCCCAGCCAGTAGATCTGGTTTTATAGATAGATAACAAATTTATACTCTCAGCAGCCACTAATCCAAGAAAACAATCTCAAGGAGGATGCCATCTTACCCCTCAATACGGATTTGAGGTTGAGCTTGGCTTGGCGGTGCAGGTCCTCAACACAGGGGGGTCTTGTGGTGGGAAGAAACACATTCTCCTGCTGGTGCCATGGGGCAGTGTAGTGGACTGTCCATCGGCTCTCCTCATCTAGATTGGAAACCGCTATAGGAAACAAGAGAATACATTCAGGTGTCAACTTAAGCTTCATTGGCTACAAATTTATTACATCATGATGTGTTTCCATGCCTAATACATCCACGGGTAAGGGCCAGCAAGGGAGAAATGGAGCAAATTTAATTAGATTTAATCTTAGATTCCAGGGGTTTTCCTCCCAGTGTTTTATTTATAAAGCAAAAGCTGAAAGTGTCCACCCTCCAAACAATGTTTTCACAGAATCATTAGCTCAGTTAACTGCTTTCCAGCATTTTAGATTCTCCCTTTACTCCACTGTTTGAAAACAATTGAAAAAATGGATAGAGACCTCCAATTCCTACTTAACCCCCATCCCCCACACACAACAAATATCAGTTACTCAACTGTATAATGCCATTTCAACAGTAAATGTTAGACTGTCCTGCTAGAAATGAATTTCCTACCAGGAGGTTTATAACAAACGTTCCCCCTTCTACAGCACTAAAGAGCATCACTGTTATAAACTCAATTACATTTTTAAAAAATTAAGCAAAGACATTCCATTTACATGTAAATGACATATCTAATAGATGTGGGGATCCATCTGTGTTACAAAATTTTCTCTGCATTTCTTGCTTTCATGAAACCCTTTTATATTAACTTTTTAAAAATTACAATGCGATCAACTCTTCCCAACACAATCCAATTCAACTAAATTTTCCCAGCACAGAAGGGACAAAAACATTAGAGGAGAAAATAATACGTAATCCTGAGACTTAGATAAATCTCTACAATAATATTCCTTTAACTCCCCTGAGGCTTGGGACCCCTCTAGTTCATTTTTCCTGACAATAGAAACTAAGCTGGAGCATCAGTGGAGCCCAAAATGAGGCTGACAGCACAAAAACAAATTCATCAACTATTTTTTAATACTTTATATATATATGCCACATAACCCAGGCATAGGAGAGATTGGAGAGGCAATGGAGAAAAGTCTTTGTGTTGAGGGATTTGCTTGAGGTAGCAAGTCTAACCCACCCCTGTAAAGCCAGCAGATAACTGAATTGTGAGTGAGGAGCAAGTCTTCCTGATTCTGATCTACGCTACAGAGTTCACACTGGGCGTATCCATGTCCCCAACATAATATGTACCTGGAAACTAGACCATAAAATGAATTTTCATAGTCATGTGAGAAAGTATGCATAAACAATTAAATCCATTTGAGCATATCTAAAGTTAACTAAACATACTCTATAGCAGTTATTAGGGCTATTCTAAAGAACAAATGAACCAATATATATAAAGTACTTAGCTCAAGAAATGACTCAGGTAAAACATGGTTGTGGCAGGAACAGTAAAAATTATTCTAACGAGGTCCCAAACATCAAACCATCACTGTTTCTTGTAAACCTAGGCCACAGGTTAGCTCTCATCTTACATACCGTCTTTTCTATAGCTAATAAATTTTACAATCTTATGAATATGAACAGGATAACTTATTTTCAAAAGGATCCCATCTTCTCCGTAAGTTGCTAAATGGGAAAATAAACATTGATAACTAGATGCCAAATTAAAAACAGAAGTGTCCACTGTGCTTTCTGCTTAGTGTTTGACAGAAGCGGTATATAAATCACACCTAGTGTCTCACATAAACTCTTGTTGAGCAAATGTTTTGCACAGTGCATACAACTATCAGTCTTAATACACAAAATCCACAAAGACCTGACTCAACCCTCATTTGTGTTCCAGAAGAATCTAGCACGGGGCCAGACTCACCATATGTCCCCCCGAAGTGTAGCCAAAGTTCACCACAATGTTTTGTGCTGATGTCCATTTAAAGATTGAGTTACCACACTTCAGAGTTAGAAACTATTGAAAAGGTAAACTTTTCCTATTTGCCAATTACAAATCAAATCCAAGTAATGGGGCATTCGTATCTGCACCATCAATCGGCACAGCTACCAACTGGCTCCTGTGAAAGAGTCTCTTTCCCTGAAGTTCCTCATTCTCGCCAAGGCCACTTTTAATCCAAAGGCAGCCTTCCGCAAGAGCTGCGGAAAACCAGCGCACAGTGCTGCTGCTCTTTGTAGCTTTCTCCAAAGCTCCTCTTCCCAATACCCCTACCCATGGGCATTTATCCAGTTTAAGTTATGGGTCCAAAAAACTAAACTAAAATAAACCAACAACTATGTAAAAACAAAGGCAAGTAGTTATAAAAATTATTTTCAAGAGAAAGAAGAAGTACATAGATAAGAAATGTAAATCAACGGTAAGTACACAACAAAGCCACATCACAAAAGCTCTGTACATAACAACAGCCACCGATCAGTCTAGACAGTTTGTGTTCAAGCTCTTAAATCCATAACAAAGAGTGCCAGGGAGTTTTAGGGGATTATCTCCACCAGAAATATATGATACATTACACAGAGGCTCCCTTACCTCAGCTGCATATTTAGTCAAAGAATCAAAAAATCATACACTACATATCAAGGGAAACATAAATTAAGTACAAGAATTCTTTCCCCGTTCAAAGGATGTCTTTTGAAAAGCACAAAAGAAATGAATTCACTTAAAACTCCAATCATAAACAAATAAGACATATTAGGATCGCATAATACTGTCCTAGAGTTACAAAAGTCTGAGGTATTTAAACAACCTGGTATAGTGTAGAGTTTAACTCATGCCTATTATGCTGTTTCACACTCTAATTTCGTCACACAAAAGAACAAAGTAGGACCGAAAAACACACACGGACACATATACACACAGACACACGGGGACAAATACACATACGGGAACATATGCACACAACAGGTAGTACAGGGAAAAAGAACTACTTACTTTTTTTCTTAAAAAGTTTAATGAAAGCCTTAATCTTTGCATTAATGAAGACCACCATTTCCAGGGCGCCTACATAGAGCTTAGAAATGTAAATCACATTAAAAGCTCAGTCTAGTAGGCAGGTGGCAAGCTTCCTCCTTCTGCTCCAGACTCTAACTTTTCTTCCCCCGGTCTCATATCCTTAGACATCTGCCCAGGCCGATGTAACTTTGAGCTTGAGCTTATGGTCAGGCAGTTACAAACCATTAACAGTCCTTGAACCTGAAAAACTCCTACTGAAACCTAATCTTTAAGGCTGAGAGCAGCCAGTGACGTCGTGCGTAGAAAGAGAAAGCCAATCACGGTTCTTATTTGCATGAAAGCCACATCAGGCTTTCTGCCTCAGTGCCCATTCATTCAGTTTTCTCTCCAACAGATCAGAAGGTCCCCTTCTCTGAGTCCACAAAAATAGTGCAGATTTTCCTCTATGGAAGTCAAGATGAAACAAATGCATTCCCCATTTCACTAGGCCACTATGAATGTCCAGCTCTCTTACAGGAACTGCCAAGTCTGAGAGCAATTCTAGTTAATTCAGGGTGTATGGGATTTGAACTGATTTACGGGGAAAAAAGCCAAATTATTGTTTCCCAACCACGCCCCAGGCTCTGCCTCCCATACCAAAGGAACTTGTACAAGCAGTAAAACTTTAGAATGGAATCTCTCCAAGGAGCTGCAAATGATGACTTGGTTGCATTTTTGTGCAAATTAGGATGCCCTGTCTTCTCACCCTTCTTTGCTAGTGATTGAGAATCAGCATTATATGTTCCAAAGCGTGATCTTATTTGCATCTAGCTGCCACAACAATCAAGAAAAAAAATTAAAAACCACCAATAAAATACAACTTCCCCACTCCAAATGAGAAATTAGATAAAGTACCCTAATCACTTTAACGTTTATTTTAAATGCAATTGTCACCTAAGCTCCTGGTTTTCAGAATTCCATAATCGCCCTTCCCTCACAGAAGTCTCAAACAAACATTATCTGAGTTACTCTTTAACTTAAATATACCATCCGGAGTTCTGTTTTTTTGCCTATTTGCAATTAACCACAGAGAGCTAGGGAAGCACAAGCAGAAATGGAGAAATCAGAAATAGGGCAAAAGAAGGCACTGGGAAAACATATTCAGGGATAAAGGGATAGGAAAAAAGGGAGAACATAGATCAGGAAATACTATGAAAAGGGAAAAAGGAAAAGAACTTCCTCACATCTCAGCCCAGTTCCACTTCATGGCCAAACACTTTTGAAACGATTTAGACAACCTCTTATTTCATAGCTTTGGGCCAGACTTATAACTCAATGGAAAAATGTAATAATCCACTAATTCAAAACATTTAGTTTATAACAAAGGCTCTTAGTCAAAGGATAAAATTTATATAAGGGGCTCTGTCTAGGGAAAGCTTTGAAACGATTCCTTCTCAAGTCTTTTTATGCCCTTTATTTTTCAACAACAACAAAACAAAAAACAAATAGAAACGTTACTACTTATCACACATATTATCACAGATTTCCAACTTGTGTTCTTCCATTCTATATAGCTTCATTTTGAAGTAATTAAATTGCCAGACGGCAAATGAGAAACGACTGAGCCTGTAAGTCAGCTTATGTGGCTGCCTTAAATTAGCGGGCAAAGTTCCCCTTTGGAAAACAAATTAATCTGCAAGAGTGACCTCCCTTAGCTCATTGCATTAGACACAGGAGAGTCGTGGGCAAAAACACTCATATGCACAATCCACAAGTGTTTGAGGTTAAGTGTTACCATGCAAATGTCCAGTTGAAAACAGAAATTGTTCTTTCAAGAAACCCTTATTATGTTCAATTCTCCATAACCTGTAGCTTTCCATGTGCCCAACAATGGCATGTGCATATAGATTCACTAATCAAAAACAGAAATACTGAGCACCAATGCTAACCGCCACTCTTTCATTTAATCGTGATACATTATTGGACAAAATAGGTGAGATCCCTGCCCTCATGGAGCTTAAAATATTTGACACTAAACTACAATCTTATGGTATATTAGAAGGAGATGAGTGCAATAGACAAAATTTAAAAATTGAGCAACATAAAAGAGGGTCTGAGGGTGGCCAGGCTGCAAGACTGTAGGAGTCAGGGTGGTCCTCATGAAAAGGTGAGACTTCAGCAAAACCTTA